AAAACACATTTCACACATTATTTAGTTTATCTAAAGACAAGATTAAATCAAGAATAGTCTGATGGGTGACAATATTACCCTATCGCTTGTTAATTATATATCACTTTTGAATGATGTCCAGCGTAAGGCAAGAAGCAATGCCTTTTGTTGTTGCTTTTTCAAATCATATTCGCACACCTGTGGCCTAGCCCATAGGCCTATATGTTTTGATAAGGTTTGTATCACAACTAAAGTGGCCAAATAAAGCACATTAATCCGCTTTACAAGGGGTGTAGAGCCTAACTGGCAGACATAAGCAGCGCGTGAGTTTCAAGTTTGGGGAAGATCATTTTCACCATAAAAATGCACTTTTATAATAACAGCATTACATGCATAATCGCATTTTGAAAAATTTGTTTTCCTGCTAATGGAACATTCGCGCTTATAGCCTACTGACATGTGCGCATTGCTGCATTGATAATGTGAAGAAATAGCCTAATAGTTTATCAACATTTTAAGCTAAACATTCTGATCTGTTGCGTCTGCCACATTGCGTAAAAAATGTTTTTTGAATGCATGTGGTTATATTATAATATATAAATATCGCATCCCACAACTGTCCCAGACTATGTTTGTAAAATGTATTCCTCGCACAGAATAGAATAGGTCAACTTTTGTACTACGGGGGATAGTAGATTGACATAGGCTAGTGCTTTTGCTGTTCGTTAGGCCTACTCATCTTGTTGGCTGACGAAAAGTACATGTGGACAGTTCTTCCAATATCTTCAACCTCGTAATTGGATAAGGATGCACGCAGCACTCTGAGAAGGACACAACGCAGCACTCAGGGAGAAGGACACAACGCAGCACTCAGGGAGAAGGACACAACGCAGCACTCAGGGAGAAGGACACAACGCAGCACTCAGGGAGAAGGACACAATGACCACTGGCCGCAAAAGGCATGGATTTTTTTAGGGTGCATTACGGCCACACAAAGGGGATGCTGCCGTGAAATTCTAGGCATTATCAGGTGCTTGTCAAACTGGGAATGAGAGACTGATGAAGTGTGTACAGCCTGCGCAAAAAACAAAGCAGATGCCTTTCAAGATACTTTAAAAATATTCTTTAGAGTCGCATCATACAGCCTTACAATGTATTAAAAATCTAAACATACAACATATAGCCCAACGTTGGTAGAAAAACTAAAGGTCCATAGTGCAGTCATAGGTCTGGTGAGAGTCATAGGTACCCTGGTGAGGTCCATAGTCCAGTCATAGGTACCCTGGTGAGGTCCATAGGGCAGTCATAGGTACCCTGGTGAGGTCCATAGTGCAGTCATAGGTCTGGTGAGGTCCATAGTGCAGTCATAGGTACCCTGGTGAGGTCCATAGTCCAGTCATAGGTACCCTGGTGAGGTCCATAGGGCAGTCATAGGTACCCTGGTGAGGTCCATAGGGCAGTCATAGGTCTGGTGAGGTCCATAGTGCAGTCATAGGTCTGGTGAGGTCCATAGTGCAGTCATAGGTACCCTGGTGAGGTCCATAGTCCAGTCATAGGTAGCCTGGTGAGGTCCATAGGGCAGTCATAGGTCTGGTGAGGTCCATAGTGCAGTCATAGGTCTGGTGAGGTCCATAGTGCAGTCATAGGTACCCTGGTGAGGTCCATAGTCCAGTCATAGGTACCCTGGTGAGGTCCATAGTCCAGTCATAGGTACCCTGGTGAGGCCCATAGTCCAGTCATAGGTACCCTGGTGAGGTCCATAGGGCAGTCATAGGTACCCGGGTGAGGTCCATAGTGCAGTCATAGGTCTGGTGAGGTCCATAGTGCAGTCATAGGTACCCTGGTGAGGTCCATAGTCCAGTCATAGGTACCCTGGTGAGGCCCCATAGTGCAGTCATAGGTACCCTGGTGAGGTCCATAGGGCAGTCATAGGTACCCTGGTGAGGTCCATAGGGCAGTCATAGGTACCCTGGTGAGGTCCATAGTGCAGTCATAGGTACCCTGGTGAGGTCCATAGTGCAGTCATAGGTACCCTGGTGAGGTCCATAGTCCAGTCATAGGTACCCTGGTGAGGTCCATAGGGCAGTCATAGGTACCCTGGTGAGGTCCATAGTGCAGTCATAGGTTCAATTGGTCTGGTGAGAAGAGGGGAGAGTCTGAGTATGCAGGCCATGGAAGAACTGGGACATTTTCAGCTTCAAGGAATTGTGTACAGATTCTTGCGACATGGGGCCGTGCATTATCATGCTGAAACATGAGGTGATGGCGGCGGATGAATGGCACGACAATGGGCCTCAGGATCTCCTCACGTTATCTCTGTGCATTCAAATTGCCATCGTTGTCTGTAGCTTATGCCTGCCCATACCATAACCTCACCGCCACCATGGGGCACTCTGTTCACAATGTTGACATCAGCAAACCGTTCGCCCACACGTCTGCCATCTTCCCGGTACAGTTGAAACCAGGATTAATCTGTGAAGAGCACACTTCTCCAGCAGCCAGTGGCCATCGAAGGTGAGCGTTTGCCCACTGAAGTCAGTTACGATGCCAAACTGCAGTCAGGTCAAGACCCTGGTGAGGACGACGAGCACACAGATGAGCTTCCCTGAGACGCTTTCTGACAGTTTGCGAAGACATTTTTCAGCATGCACCCTCACTCAAAACTTAAGACATCTGTGGCATTGTGTTGTGTGACAAAACATTTTAGAGTGGCCGTTTATTGTCCCCAGCACAAGGTGTACCTGTGTAATGATCATGCTGTTTAATCAGCTTCTTGATATGCCACGCCTGTCAGGTGGATGGATTATCTTGGTAAAGGAGAAATGCTCACTAACAGGGATGTAAACAAATTTGTGCACAACATTTTAGAGAAATAAGCTTTTTGTGCCTATGGAACATTTCGGGGATATTTTATTTCAGCTCATGAAACATGGGCCCAACACTTTACATGTTGCGTTCATATTTTTGTTCAGTGTATATCAATATTTGCGCATAAAGGAGTTTCCACCGCCATTTCTCGCATAATGAATTTTTCCCCCACAATAAAATCCCATTTCCAAGGAGCAAATGATCTGTCTGCAATAATAAATTTGTACTGAAACTTCCTAACAGACACTAACAGTACTCAAATGGCAACCTATTCCCCAGACCAGAACTAAAAGTAGTGCATTTATATTTATATATATGGAATAGACTACCATCTGGGACAGACCCATAGTCTACAAGAATAAGGGGACCTCTAACCATTTAACTTTTACTTAAAATATACATATACATTTTTTTGCCTGTAAATATAAATTTATAACAAGTAAATATACAGTTGAAGTCGGAAGTTTACATATACTTAGGTTGGAGTCATTAAAACTCGTTTTTTTTTTTTCTTCACACATTTCTTGTTAACAAACTATAGTTTTGGCAAGTCGGTTAGGACATCTACTTTGCATGACACAAGTAATTTTTCCAACAATTGTTTACAGACAGATTATTTCACTTATAATTCACTGTATCACAATTCCATTGGGTCAGAAGTTTACATACACTAAGTTGACTGTGCCTTTAAACAGCTTGGAAAAGTCCAGAAAATGATGTCATGGCTTTAGAAGCTTCTGATAGGCTAATTGACATCATTTGAGTCAATTAAGGTGTACCTGTGGATGTATTACAAGGCCTACCTTCAAACTCAGTGCCTCTTTGCTTGACATCATGGGAAAATCAAAAGAAATCAGCCAAGACCTCAGAAGAAAAATTGTAGACCTCCACAAGTCTTGTTCATCCTTGGGAGCAATTTCCAAATGCCTGAAGGTTCCACGTTCATCTGTACAAACAATAGTACACAAGTATAAACACCATGGGACCACGCAGCCGTCATACCGCTCAGGAAGGAGACGCGTTCTGTCTCCTAGAGATGAACGTACTTTGGTGCGAAAAGTGCAAACCAATCCCAGAACAACAGCAAAGGACCTTGTGAAGATGCTGAAGGAAACCGGTACAAAAGTATCTATATCCACAGTAAAAGGAGTCCTATATCGACATAACCTGAAAAGTCGCTCAGCAAGGAAGAAGCCACTGCTCCAAAACCGCCATAACAAAGCCAGACTACGGTTTGCAACTGCACATGGGGACAAAGATCGTACTTTTTGGAGAAATGTCCTCTGGTCTGATGAAACAAAAATAGAACTGTTTGGCAATAATGACCATCGTTATGTTTGGAGGAAAAAGGGGGTAACTTGCAAGCCGAAGAACACCATCCCAACCGTGAAGCACGGGGGTGGCAGCATCATGCTATGGGGGTGCTTTGCTGCAGGAGGGACTGGTGCACTTCACAAAATAGATGGCATCATGAGGAAGGAAAATTATGTGGATATATTGAAGCAACATCTCAAGACATCAGTCAGGAAGTTAAAGTTTGGTCGCAAATGGGTCTTCCAAATCGACAATGACCCCAAGCATACTTCCAAAGTTGTGGCAAAATGGCTTAAGGACAACAAAGTCAAGGTATTGGAGTGGCCATCACAAAGCCCTGACCTCAATCCTATAGAAAATATGTGGGCAGAACTGAAAAAGCGTGTGCGAGCAAGGAAGCCTACAAACCTGACTCAGTTACACCAGCTCTGTCAGGAGGAATGGGCCAAAATTCACCAAACCTATTGTGGGAAGCTTGTGGAAGGCTACCCGAAACGTTTGACCCAAGTTAAAGAATTTAAAGGCAATGTTACCAAATACTAATTGAGCGTATGTAAACTTCTGACCCACTGGGAATGTGATGAAAGAAATAAAAGCTGAAATAAATCATTCTCTCTACTATTATTCTGACATTTCACAATCTTAAAATAAAGTTGTGATCCTAACTGACCTAAAACAGGGCATTTTTACTAGGATTAAATGTCGGGAAGTGTGAAAAACTGAGTTGAAATGTATTTGGGTAAGATGTATGTGAACTTCCGACTTCAACTGTAGGTTCATATAGAAATTGTTTGATGGTGCTTTTGACTTTTATTTGTAACTCTCCTGTGTTTCTCCAGTGTAAAGACTTCTTCAGGGCCGGGCGGGGGATTTATGAAGACCTGTTTCGCAGACTGCCACTTTACTCCTCAGACTTCACAGATGGTAGGCTGGGCCAAACTCCTTTGATAATCAGTTTTTTCTGTCAACACCTCAGTGGTGCGTCTCTCACTGCATTATTCTCTGATATTCAATTATTATATTTTATATATATATATATACCTGTCAAAAGTTTGGACACCTACTCATTCAAGGGTTTTTCTTTATTTTTACTATTTTCTACATTGTAGAATAATAGTGAAGACATCAAAACTATGAAATAACACATATGGAATCATGTAGTAACCAAAAAAGTGTTAAACAAATCAAAATATATTTTATATTTGAGATTCTTCAAATAGCCACCCTTTGCCTTGATGACAGCTTTGCACACTCTTGGCATTCTCTCAACCAGCTTCACCTGGAATGCTTTTCCAACAGTCTTGAAGGAGTTCCCACATATGATGAGCACTTGTTGGCTGCTTTTCCTTCACTCTGCCGTCCGACTCATCCCAAACCATCCCAATTGGTTTGAGGTCGGGGGATTGTGGAGGCCAGGTCATCTGCTGCAGCACTCCATCACTCTCCTTCTTGATAAAATAGCCCTTACACAGCCTGGAGGTGTGTTGGGTCATTGTCCTGTTGAAAAACAAATGCTAGTCCCACTAAGCCCAAACCAGATGGGATGGCGAATCGCTGCAGAATGCTGTTGTAGCCATGCTGGTTAAGTGTGCCTTGAATTCAAAATAAATCACAGACAGTGTCACCAGCAAAGCAACCCCACACCATCACACCTACTCCTCCATGCTTTACGGTGGGAAATACACATGCGGAGATCATCCGTTCACCTACACTGCGTCTCACAAAGACACAGCGGTTGGAACCAAAAATCTCCAAATTTGGACTCCAGACCAAAGGACATATTTCCACCGGTCTAATGTCCATTGCTCGTGTTTCTTGGCCCAAGCAGGTCTCTTCTTATTATTGGTGTCCTTTAGTAGTGGTTTCTTTGCAGCAATTCGACCATGAAGGACTGATTCACGCAGTCTCCTCTGAACAGTTGATGTTGAGATGTGTCTGTTACTTGAACTCTGAAGCATTTATTTGGGTTGCAATTTCTGAGGCTGGTAACTCTAATGAACTTATCCTCTGCAGCAACGGTAACTCTGGGTCTTCCATGGTTTTTGCGACTGCACTTGAAGAAAATTTTAGAGTTCTTGAAATGTTCCATGTTGACTGACCTTCATGTCTTAAAGTAATGATGGACTGTCATTTCTCTTTGCTTATTTGAGCTGTTCTTGCCATAATATGGACTTGGTATTTTACCAAATAGTGCAATCTTCTATATACTCTACCTTGTCACAACACAACTGATTGGCTCTAACGCATTAAGAAGGAATTCCACAAATTAACTTTTAGGAAGGCACACCTGTTAATTGAAATGCATTCCAGGTGACTACCTCATGAAGCTGGTTGAGAGAATGCCAAGAGTGTGCAAAGCTGTCATCAAGGCAAAGGGTGGCTATTTGAAGAATCTCAGATATAAAATATATTTTGATTTGTTTAACACTTTTTTGGTTAATACGTGATTCCATATGTGTTACTTCATAGTTTTGATGTCTTCACTATTATTCTAAAATGTAGAAAATAGTAAAAATAAAGAAAAAGCAGCTAGGTGTGTCCAAACCTTTGACCCGTAGTGTGTATATACTGTATATTAACTCCATTCTAGATAGAACAACAGTATGTTACTGTGTGTATTCCTAATCAGGGTAATTGAAGCAAGTAAGTATATTGAGTTTTTGAGTTGACACCTAGCCTCCTCCTCCTCTCCTCTCCTCCTCCCTCTCCTCTCCTCCGCCTCCTCCTCCCTCCCTCTCCTCTCCTCTCTCTCCTCTCCTCTCCCTCTCACTCTCGCTCGGTCCGCTCCTCTCCTCTCCTCCCTCCTCCTCCTCCCTCTCCGCTCCTCCTCCTCTCCTCCTCCTCTCCTCCTCTTCTCCTGTCCCTCCCTCTCGCTCCTCCTCCTCCCTCTCCGCTCCTCCCCCCTCCTCCTCCTCTCCCTCTCTCTCCCTCCTCCTGCCCTCCTCCCCTCCCTCTCCTCTCCTCCTCCATCCTCTCCTCTCTCCTCCTCTCCTCTCCTCCTCCTCCTCCTCCCTCCTCCCTCTCCCTCTCCTCCTCCTCCTCCTCCTCCTCCTCCCCCTCCGCACCTCCTCCTCCTCCCTCCCTCCCTCCTCCTCCTACTCGTCCCTTGCTCCACTCTCCTCTCCCTCCGCCTCCTCCTCCTCCTCCCCGCTCCTCTCCTCCCCTTTCCCGCCCCCCCTCCCCTCCTCCTCCGTCCTCCCTCCCCCCCTTCCCCCTTCTCCCCCCCCCTCCTCCTCCTCCTCCTCCCTCCTCCTCCTCTCCCCTCCCCCCTCCTCCCCTCCTTCCCCTCCTCCCCTCCCCCCCCCTCCCCTCTCCCCCTCCCCTCCCCCCTCCCCCCTCCCCCTCCTCCTCCTACCTTCCCCCCTCCCCCTCCCCCGCCCCTCCCCCCCTCCTCCCCTCCCCTCTCCTCCTCCTCCCCTCCCCCCTCCCTCTCCCCCTCCTCCTCTTTCCTCCTCCCTCTCCTCTTCCCTCCCTCCTCCCCCCCCCCTTTCCCCCCTTCCCCCCCCCCCCCCCTCTCCCCCCTCCCCCTCCTCCCCCCTCCCTCTCCCCCGTCCCCCTCCCTTCCCCTTTCCCTCTCCTCTTCCCCCCCCTCCCCCTTCCTCCTTCCTTTTTTCCCCCCCCGCCTCCTCCCCCCTCCTCCCTCCCCTCCCCTCCCTCCCCGTACGCCCTCCCTCCTCCTCCCCTCCTCCTCTCCTCCTCTCCACCTCCTCCTCCCTCTCTCCCCAGGTATAGTAGGCAGTAATAAGACTGTACTGAAGTACATGACAACAACTATCTTCCTGTACATTGCTATCCTCCTCCCTGCCATCGCTTTCGGCTCACTCAACGATGAGAGAACACGGGGAGAGATTGGTATACACGGCCACGGACTCGGACACACGCAAACACACACGTTATGTGGCTGAGCGATAAGGAGAAACTAAAATTGATTTTTGTGTATTTCCGTTTGCAGAATATTTAGATGAAGCTTTATTTTTTAAATAGATTATTTTTCTATTTAGATTATTTGTTGTTATTCTGTCTCTCACTGTTCAAATAAACCTACCATTAAAATTATAGACTGATCATGTCTTTGTCAGTGGGCAAACGTACAAAATCAGCAGGGGATCAAATACTTTTTATTTTTCCCTCACTGTATGTATGTGTGTATATATACAGTGTATATGTATGTATGTACAGTGGGGAGAACAAGTATTTGATACACTGCCGATTTTGCAGGTTTTCCTACTTACAAAGCATGTAGAGGTCTGTAATTTTTATCATAGGTACACTTCAACTGTGAGACGGAATCTAAAACAAAAATCCAGAAAATCACATTGTATGATTTTTAAGTAATTAATTTGCATTTTATTGCATGACATAAGTATTTGATACATCAGAAAAGCAGAACTTAATATTTGGTACAGAAACCTTTCTTTGCAATTACAGAGCTCATACGTTTTCTGTAGGTCTTGACCAGGTTTGCACACACTGCAGAAGGGATTTTGGCCCACTCCTCATTTACATTTACATTTACATACATTTTAGTCATTTAGCAGACGCTCTTATCCAGAGCGACTTACAGTTAGTGAGTACATACATCATTTTTTTTATACTGGCCCCCCATGGGAATCAAACCCACAACCCTGGCATTGCAAACACCATGCTCTACCAATTGAGCTACATCCCTGCCGGTCATTCCCTCCCCTACCCTGGACGACGCTGAGCCAATTGTGCGCCGCCCCATGGGTCTCCCGGTCGCGGCTGGCTACGACAGAGCCTGGATTCGAACCAGGATCTCTAGTGGCACAGCTAGCACTGCGATGCAGTGCCTTAGACCACTGCGCCACTCGGGAGACATACAGACCTCCATACAGACCTTCTCCAGATCCTTCAGGTTTCGGGGCTGTCGCTGGGCAATACGGACTTTCAGCTCCCTCCAAAGATTTTCTATTGGTTTCAGGTCTGGAGACTGGCTAGGCCACTCCAGGACCTTGAGATGCTTCTTACGGAGCCAATCCTTAGTTGCCCTGGCTGTGTGTTTCGGATCGTTGTCATGCTGGAAGACCCAGTCACGACCCATCTTCAATGCTCTTACTGAGGGAAGGAGGTTGTTGGCCAAGATCTCGCGATACATGGCCCCATCCATCCTCCCCTCAATATGGTGCAGTCGTCCTGTCCCCTTTGCAGAAAAGCATCCCCAAAGAATGATGTTTCCACCTCCATGCTTCACGGTTGGGATGGTGTTCTTGGGGTTGTACTCATCCTTCTTCTTCCTTCAAACACGGCGAGTGGAGTTTAGACCAAAAAGCTCTATTTTTGTCTCATCAGACCACATGACCTTCTCCCATTCCTCTTCTGGATCATCCAGATGGTCATTGGCAAACTTCAGACGGGCCTGGACATGCGCTGGCTTGAGCAGGGGGACCTTGCGTGCGCTGCAGGATTTTAATCCATGACGGCGTAGTGTGTTACTAATGGTTTTCTTTGAGACTGTGGTCCCAGCTCTCTTCAGGTCATTGACCAGGTCCTGCCGTGTAGTTCTGGGCTGATCCCTCACCTTCCTCATGATCATTGATGCCCCACGAGGTGAGATCTTGCATGGAGCCCCAGACCGAGGGTGATTGACCGTCATCTTGAACTTCTTCAATTTTCTAATAATTGCGCCAACAGTTGTTGCCTTCTCACCAAGCTGCTTGCCTATTGTCCTGTAGCCCATCCCAGCCTTGTGCAGGTCTACAATTTTATCCCTGATGTCCTTACACAGCTCTCTGGTCTTGGCCATTGTGGAGAGGTTGGAGTCTGTTTGATTGAGTGTGTGGACAGGTGTCTTTTATACAGGTAACGAGTTCAAGCAGGTGCAGTTAATACAGGTAATGAGTGGAGAACAGGAGGGCTTCTTAAAGAAAAACTAACAGGTCTGTGAGAGCCGGAATTCTTACTGGTTGGTAGGTGATCAAATACTTATGTCATGCAATAAAATGCAAAATTAATTACTTAAAAATCATACAATGTGATTTTCTGGATTTTTGTTTTAGATTCAGTCTCTCACAGTTGAAGTGTACCTATGATAAAAATTACAGACCTCTACATGCTTTGTAAGTAGGAAAACCTGCAAAATACTTGTTCTCCCCACTGTATGTATGTATGTATGTATGTATGTATGTATGTATGTATGTATATATACAGTGTGTATGTACAGTTGAAGTCGGAAGTTTACGTACACCTTAGCCAAATACATTTTAACTCAGTTTTTCACAATTCCTGACATTTAATCCTAGTAAAATACCCTGTCTTATGTCAGTTAGGATCACCACTTTATTCTAAGAATGTGAAATGTCAGAATAATAGTAGAGAGAATGATTTATTTCAGCTTTTATTTCTTTCATCACATTCCCAGTGGGTCAGAAGTTTACATACACTCAATTAGTATTTGGTAGCATTGCCTTTAAATTGTTTAACTTACATCAAACATTTCGGGTAGCCTTCCACAAGCTTCCTACAATAGGTTTGGTGAATTTTGGCCCATTCCACCTTACAGAGCTGGTGTAACTGAGTCAGGATTGTAGGCCTCCTTGCTCGCACATGCTTTTTCAGTTCTGCCAACAAATTTTCTATAGAATTGAGGTCAGGGTTTTGTGATGGCCACTCCAATACCTTGACTTTGTTGTCCTTAAGCCATTTTGCCACAACTTTGGAAGTATGCTTGGGGTCATTGTCGATTTGGAAGACCCATTTGCGACCAAGCTTTAACTTTCTGACTGATGTCTTGAGATGTTGCTTCAATATATCCACATAATTTTCCTTCCTCATGATGCCATCTATTTTGTGAAGTGCACCAGTCCCTCCTGCAGCAAAGCACCCCCACAGCATGATGCTGCCACCTCCGTGCTTCACGGTTTGGATGGTGTTCTTCGGCTTGTAAGCAGCCCCCTTTTTCCTCCAAACATAACGACGGTCATTATTGCCAAACAGTTCTATTTTTGTTTCATCAGACCAGAGGACATTTCTCCAAAAAGTACGATCTTTGTCCCCATGTGCAGTTGCAAACCGTAGTCTGGCTTTTTTATGGCGGTTTTGGAGCAGTGGCTTCTTCCTTACTGAGCGACTTTTCAGGTTATTTCGATATAGGACTCCTTTTACTGTGGATATAGATACTTTGTACCTGTTTCCTCCAGCATCTTCACAAGGTCCTTTGCTGTTGTTCTGGGATTGATTTGCACTTTTCGCACCAAAGTTCATTCATCTCTAGGAGACAGAACGCGTCTCCTTCCTCCTCCTTCCTGAGCGGTATGACGGCTGCGTGGTCCCATGGTGTTTATACTTGCGTACTATTGTTTGTACAGATGAATGTGGTACCATCAGGTGTTTGGAAATTGATCCCAAGGATGAACCAGACTTGTGGAGGTCTACAATTTCTTTTCTGAGGTCTTGGCTGATATCTTTTGATTTTCCCATGATGTCAAGCAAAGAGGCACTGAGTTTGAAGGTAGGCCTTGAAATACATCCACAGGTACACCTTCAATTGACTCAAATGATGTCAATTAGCCTATCAGAAGCTTCTAAAGCCATGACATCATTTTCTGGAATTTTCCAAGCTGTTTAAAGGCACAGTCAACTTAGTGTATGTAAACTTCTGACCCAATGGAATTGTGATACAGTGAATTATAAGTGAAATAATCTGTCTGTAAACAATTGTTGGAAAAATTACTTGTGTCATGCACAAAGTAGATGTCCTAACTGACTTGCCAATACTATAGTTTGTTAACAAGAAATTTGTGGAGTGGTTGAAAAACGAGTTTTAATGACTCCAACCTCAGTGTATGTAAACTTCAACTGTATGTATGTGTATATAAAATGTATATATACAGTATGTAACTCCTGAGTGGCGCAGTGGTCTAAGGCACTGCATCGCAGTGCTAACTGTGCCACTAAATCCTGGTTCGAATCCAGGCTCTGTCGTAGCCGGCCGCGACCGGGAGACCCATGGGGCGGCGCACAATTGGCCCAGCGTCGTCCAGGGTAGGGGAGGGAATGGCCGGCAGGGATGTAGCTCAGTTGATAGAGCATGGCGTTTGCAACGCCAGGGTTGTGGGTTCGATTCCCAGGGGGGGCCAGTATAAAAAAAATATATATATATATGTATTCTCTAACTGTAAGTTGCTCTGGATAAGAGCGTCTGCTAAATTACGTAAATGTAATGTATATTATTTTACTGCTCTAGGGATATAATTATTGTTTGGATAACCTTATTTACTGTTATGTATTGATTTTCACTTTACATTTTTTCACTCTTTATGCGATTCACAATGCAAAGAACACCAGAAGAAGAATGATCATTTAATTACCACAGTGAATTATTGTACCGTTTGTTTTTTGTGTCAATTAATCCCATAAGGGATGGGTTGCCAATTTGGCGATTTGACACAAAAAAATAAAATAAACATTAATTAATTCAATTCAATTATTTAATTAATTAATTCACACAAACACACACACACACCTGACTCTGTATGTGTCTTTTCAGATGTCCAGAAGACCATTATCGGCCAAAGTATAGGAGGAATAATCTATTCTCTTTTCGCTGGGTCACCGTTGGTAATCCCTTTGACCACGGCTCCACTGGCCATCTTCATCAGTGGTAGGTCTCTCTCCTCTTCTTCATCAGTGGTAGGTCTCTCTCCTCTTCATCAGCGGTAGGTCTCTCTCTCGTCTTCATCAGTGGTAGGTCTCTCTCCTCTTCTTCATCAGCGGTAGGTCGCTCTCCTCTTCATCAGCGGTAGGTCTCTCTCCTCTTCATCAGCGGTAGGTCTCTCTCTCCTCTTCATCAGTGGTAGGTCTCTCTCTCCTCTTCATCAGTGGTAGGTCTCTCTCTCCTCTTCATCAGCGGTAGGTCTCTCTCCTCTTCATCAGCGGTAGGTCTCTCTCTCCTCTTCATCAGCGGTAGGTCTCTCTCTCCTCTTCTTCATCAGTTGTAGGTCTCTCTCCTCTTCTTCATCAGCGGTAGGTCTCTCTCTCCTCTTCTTCATCAGTGGTAGGTCTCTCTCTCCTCTTCTTCATCAGCGGTAGGTCTCTCTCTCCTCTTCATCAGTGGTAGGTCGCTCTCCTCTTCATCAGTGGTAGGTCTCTCTCTCCTCTTCTTCATCAGCGGTAGGTCTCTCTCCTCTTCATCAGCAGTAGGTCTCTCTCTCCTCTTCATCAGCGGTAGGTCTCTCTCTCCTCTTCTTCATCAGCGGTAGGTCTCTCTCTCCTCTTCATCAGTGGTAGGTCTCTCTCTCCTCTTGTTCATCAGCGGTAGGTCTCTCTCCTCCTCTTCATCAGCGGTAGGTCTCTCTCTCCTCTTCCTCATCAGCGGTAGGTCTCTCTCCTCTTCTTCATCACAATGAATAATTAATTAACTAATTTAGTTACTGTAGCACTTTTCCAATTGCTCAAAGCGCTTTACATAGTAAGGGGGAAACTGGCTTCTTCCACCACCAATGTGTAGGTATATTGTGGTAGGTCTTTCTCCTCTTCTTCATCAGTGTTAGGTCTCTTTCTGAGCCTTATATCCTGTATATATGTCTCTGTCTGCCCTGTACTTCTCCGTCTGCCCTCTACCTCTCTGTCTGCCCTCTACCTCTCTGTCTGCCCTCTACCTCTCTGTCTGCCCTCTACCTCTCTGTCTGCCCTCTACCTCTCTGTCTGCCCTGTACGTCTCTGTCTGCCCTCTACCTAGCCGTCTACCCTCTCTGTCTGCCCTCTACCTAGTTGTCTGCCCTCCGTCTGCCCTCTACCTCTCTGTCTGCCCCTCTCCGTCTGCCCTCTACCTCTCTGTCTGCCCTCTACCTCTCTGTCTGCCCTCTACCTCGCTGTCTGCCCTCCACCTCGCTGTCTGCCGTCCACCTCTCCATCTGCCCTCCACCTCTCCGTCTGCCCTCCACTTCTCCGTCTGCCCTCCACTTCTCCGTCTGCCCTCCACCTCTCCATCTGCCCTCCACCTCTCTGTCTGCCCTCCACCTCTCTGTCTGCCCTCTACCTCTCTGTCTGCCCTCTACTTCTGTCTGCCCTCTACTTCTGTCTGCCCTCTACTTCTGTCTGCCCTCTACCTCTCTGTCTGCCCTCTACCTCTCTGTCTGCCCTCTACCTCTCTGTCTGCCCTCTACCTCTCTGTCTGCCCTCTACCTCTCTGTCTGCCCTGTACGTCTCTGTCTGCCCTCTACCTAGCCGTCTACCCTCTCTGTCTGCCCTCTACCTAGTTGTCTGCCCTCCGTCTGCCCTCTACCTCTCTGTCTGCCCCTCTCCGTCTGCCCTCTACCTCTCTGTCTGCCCTCTACCTCTCTGTCTGCCCTCTACCTCGCTGTCTGCCCTCCACCTCGCTGTCTGCCCTCCACCTCTCCATCTGCCCTCCACCTCTCCGTCTGCCCTCCACTTCTCCGTCTGCCCTCCACTTCTCCGTCTGCCCTCCACCTCTCCATCTGCCCTCCACCTCTCCGTCTGCCCTCCACCTCTCTGTCTGCCCTCTACCTCTCTGTCTGCCCTCTACTTCTGTCTGCCCTCTACTTCTGTCTGCCCTCTACTTCTGTCTGCCCTCTACTTCTGTCTGCCCTCCACCTCGCTGTCTGCCCTCCACCTCGCTGTCTGCCCTCCACCTCTCCGTCTGCCCTCCACCTCTACGTCTGCCCTCCACCTCTCCGTCTGCCCTCCACCTCTCCATCTGTCCTCCACCCCGCTGTCTGCCCTCCACCTCTCCATCTGTCCTCCACCCCGCTGTCTGCCCTCCACCTCTCCGTCTGCCCTCCACCCCGCTGTCTGCCCTCCACCTCTCCATCTGTCCTCCACCCCGCTGTCTGCCCTCCACCTCTCCATCTGTCCTCTACCTCTCCGTCTGCCCTCCACCTCTCCATCTGCCCTCCACCTCTCCATCTGTCCTCCACCCCGCTGTCTGCCCTCCACCTCTCCATCTGTCCTCTACCTCTTCTCCGGACAGACACATCTCCACTGCAGCACAATAAAGTTATCTCCACTTTTTGAAGTTTCTCCACCGTTGGATGATTTCGAGAATTAAGTGTTTTCCCAGGGAGCCAGCAGACCAGACAGAGAGAGAGAGAGACATACAGATGGATGGACAGAGAGACAGACGGTCAGACCGAGTCTACCACTCTCCTGGTTCTCAGGCTCTGTCTCTTGTTGGACCCCACTAACGTTCCAATGTTTTATTTACACATATCTGTCTATAATGAGTTAAGTTGTTTGGAATAGAAATCATTCTGCCGGCTTGAGGCTGAGGAATGGAGCAACATTAACGTCTGTTTTAATATATGATTTGTTTAGAGGCTGTCTGATGTCATTCCATCTGACTGAGCTGTTCTGTGGGTCTAATAGTGTGTGTGTGTGTGTGTGTGTGTGTGTGTGTGTGTGTGTGTGTGTGTGTGTGTGTGTGTGTGTGTGTGTGTGTGTGTGTGTGTGTGTGTGTGTGTGTGTGTGTGTGTGTGTGTGTGTGTGTGTGTGTGTCTGTCTGTCTGTCTGTCTGTCTGTCTGTCTGTCTGTCTGTCTGTCTGTCTGTCTGTCTGTCTGTCTGTCTGTCTGTCTGTCTGTCTGTCTGTCTGTCTGTCTGTCTGTCTGTCTGTCTGTCTGTCTGTCTGTCTGTCTGTCTGTCTGTCTGTCTGTCTGTCTGTCTGTCTGTCTGTCTGTCTGTCTGTCTGTCTGTCTGTCTGTCTGTCTGTCTGTCTGTCTGTCTGTCTGTCTGTCTGTCTGTCTGTCTGTCTGTCTGTCTGTCTGTCAGACTATTATCCTGAGACTGTCTGGTGGTAAAACAGTTGTTTGTCTGAGGAAACCCACGTGTGGTTTGTTTGTGTAATCTAAATACACATCAGCTGTTGTTCTGGTTGTTTTGCTGTTCAAATGAAGTCGTCAGGTTTTGTTCCTGTATAATGTTGGTAAAACTAGAGTGAGTTTCGTCTTCCATCACCAGCCTGCGGTTGGTCTCAAGGCTAGCGCTGCCGCCTGCAGACGTGGCATACAAGTCAAATCCTACTGTAGTCCTACCACTCTCTTCAACTCACGTCACTTCACTTTCCTGTCTGGCTTTCCTGTCTGGCTTTCCTGTCTAGTCTCGGGTATATCCCCGACCGTGGTGCGACGTAAGCCGGAGCATTGATACATTGCCGGAAGCAAACTGTCTGTCTATCAAGGTTAGGGACATTGGCCAGCAACTGCTTGAACAAACAACTTTAACCGTTAAACTGCTCATTGGGTGTTGCACTGCAGCTGCCCGCTAGAGGGCTCTTCAACGAATGTGTGTATATCAGAGGGTTTGGGTACAGCAGAAGACGTCTTTCTGTCTGGACTAATAAAGTATTCCATCTCCATGATCATTAACGAATAGAATTCTCTGTGTGTCTACAGTGATCCGTTGTATCTGTGATGACTATGACCTGGACTTCCCAGCGTTCTACGCCTGCATCGGTCTCTGGAACTCCGTCTTCCTCATCCTGGGAGGCATCTTCAATGTCTCTCTGCTCATGAAGCTGTTCAAAAGGTGCTCTATATGAACTGAATATTATAGTAAATACTGTATGCACCATATTTGTACTGTTTATGTGTGACTATAAGTAAGTAAGTAATCAACGAGGGACTATGCGTTCTATGGAAAATAATGAACGACGTGGAAGATGCGTTCCAAAACGTGCTAGCAGAGAACTGACCATCCACGGAGTTGGAGAACGCATAGAGCCCCGAGTTGGAGAACGCATAGAGCCCCGAGTTGGAGAACGCATAGAGCCCCGAGTTGGAGAACACATAGAGCCCCGAGTTGGAGAACGCATAGAGCCCCGAGTTGGAGAACACATAGAGCCCCGAGTTGGAGAACACATAGAGCCCCGAGTTGGAGAACACATAGAGCCCCGAGTTGGAGAACGCATAGAGCCCCGAGTTGGAGAACACATAGAGCCCCGGGGTTGGAGAACACATAGAGCCCCGAGTTGGAGAACGCATAGAGCCCCGAGTTGGAGAACACATAGAGCCCCGAGTTGGAGAACACATAGAGCCCCGAGTTGGAGAACGCATAGAGCCCCGAGTTGGAGAACGCATAGAGCCCCGAGTTGGAGAACACATAGAGCCCCGAGTTGGAGAACACATAGAGCCCCGAGTTGGAGAACGCATAGAGCCCCGAGTTGGAGAACACATAGAGCCCCGAGTTGGAGAACACATAGAGCCCCGAGTTGGAGAACACATAGAGCCCCGAGATGGAGAACGCATAGAGCCCCGAGTTGATTATCCCTTCTATACCATGGCTATAATTTAACACATATGCCGCTAGAAATGTGTTCATTTACCTCTAGAAATGTGTTCATTTACCTCTAGAAATGTGTTCAACATCCACTGAAGTAGCTAGCAAGTGTAGCAGATAGCTACAGTAGTTACTGTGGTAACAAAACAAACAGACTTGCTAGTTTAGCTAACCAAACCATCAGTCCTAGCTTGGCATTGTTGAATTGGATTTTCATAATACCAATAATGTTTTCAAATTCAACTTTTGCTTTCAAAAGCAGCTCAAACATAGAACATGTAAGAATGAACTATAGCCGTGGTATATTGGTCATACACCACACCCCCTCGGGCCTTACTGCTTAAACAATGCACGCTCTAGAATGCCCTTCAAGCCAATCAGAAACATGTATTCAACAATGCCATGGTATAATGTACAGTAACATCTACAATGTTTCCCTGATCATGAGGCTGTTTTAAAGGTCTGGGTCACCTACACATGGACTGGATATGCGGTACATGCCATCATTTCACTGTCTGTGTTGTTGTCCCCCACCAAGAAATCGGGGCGGGGACTGTGGATCTGTCTCTGTACGTTAGTCACTCAGACAGCACTGTTTAGAAAACTCGGTTGAATGATGAATCTTGCCATATCGATCCAGCATTTACAGAACTACACCAATTGACCCAAGGCTGGAGCTATGGTAGTGATATGAAATGTGTTAGTCAAACGCGATATCTCAGTTGGCCCAAGGGAGGTGCTGTATCATTGGTTGGGGGACGACGTGTTTATGGTTGTTGCTCTTGTTGTGTCCCAGGTCAACAGAGGAGGTCATAGCTCTGTTCATCTCTATAGCCTTCGTAGTGGACGCTCTGAAAGGAACCATCACAAGTAAGGAGGGGGACAATGTACAACTCCCTCAACTCAACCTGTAGACCATACTGATGATTATATACCATGCTGATGATTATATACCATACTGATGATTATATACCATACTGATGATTATATACCATACTGATGATTATATACCATACTGATGATTATATACCATACTGATGATTATATACCATATTGATGATTATATACCATACTGATGATTATATACCATACTGATGATTATATACCATATTGATGATTATATACCATACTGATGATTATAGACCATACTGATGATTATATACCATATTGATGATTATATACCATACTGATGATTATATACCATACTGATGATTATATACCATACTGATGATTATATACCATACAGACCATACTGATGATTATATACTATACTGATGATTATATACCATATTGATGATTATATACCATACTGATGATTATATACCATACTGATGATTATAGACCATACTGATGATTATATACCATACTGATGATTATATACCATATTGATGATTATATACCATACTGATGATTATATACCATACTGATGATTATATACCATACAGACCATACTGATGATTATATACCATACTGATGATTATATACCATACAGACCATATTGATGATTATATACCATACTGATGATTATATACCATACTGATGATTATATACCATACAGACCATACTGATGATTATATACCATACTGATGATTATATACCATACAGACCATACTGATGATTATATACCATACTGATGATTATATACCATACAGACCATACTGATGATTATATACCATACAGACCATACTGATGATTATATACCATACTGATGATTATATACCATACAGACCATATTGATGATTATATACCATACTGATGATTATATACCATATTGATGATTATATACCATACAGACCATACTGATGATTATATACCATACTGATGATTATATACCATACAGACCATATTAATGATTATATAACATACTGATGATTATATACCATACTGATGATTATATACCATACAGACCATACTGATGATTATATACCATACAGACCATACTGATGATTATATACCATACAGACCATACTGATGATTATATACCATACAGACCATACTGATGATTATATACCATACAGACCATACTGATGATTATATATCATACAGACCATACTGATGAGTATATACCATACAGACCATACTGATGATTATAGATCATACTGATGATTATATACCATAGTGATGATTATATACCATACAGACCATACTGATGATTATAGATCATACTGATGATTATATACCATACTGATGATTATATACCATACAGACCATACTGATGATTATATACCATACAGACCATACTGATGATTATATACCATACTGATGATTATATACCACATAGACCATACTGATGATTATATACCATACTGATGATTATATACCATACAGACCATACTGATGATTATATACCATACAGACCATACTGATGATTATATACCATACTGATGATTATATACCATACAGACCATACTGATGATTATATACCATACTGATGATTATATACCATACAGACCATACTGATGATTATATACCATACAGACCATACTGATGATTATAGATCATACTGATGATTATATACCATACTGATGATTATATACCATACAGACCATACTGATGATTATATACCATACAGACCATACTGATGATTATATACCATACTGATGATTATATACCATATAGACCATACTGGTGATTATATACCATACAGACAATTTACATTATTATATACCATTTTATTTAAGTAGGCTACCATGCCTTTGTTGTCATGGAGATGATCCAACTTGATATGTTGAATTGATGATAATTACTCCCTGTTGTGTCTCCTCCCTCCAGTCTTCCATAAATACTACCACGCCTCGACGCTGACCAATGGAAGTGGTGAGGCGTTGCTATGGCTACAGGAGCAGTGGGGTGTGACCCTACTGGGGGGTAATGGGACGGGGGCGGGGGGAGCAGAAGGAGGAGGGGTGGGGGGATTCAGCTCCAGCTCTCTCCCTCTGCCTGACTCCTTCATCCAGTCTACCAGGGAGAGACCAGTCCTGTGTCTGCTGCTAATGCTGGGAACCCTGTGGCTGGGCTACACCCTCTACCAGTTTAAACACAGGTACAGTAGATCACCCTCTACCAGTTTAAACACAGGTACAGTAGATCACCCTCTATCAGTTTAAACAGAGGTACAGTAGATCACCCTCTATCAGTTTAAACAGAGGTACAGTAGATCCCCCTCTATCAGTTTAAACACAGGTACAGTAGATCACCCTCTACCAGTTTAAACAGAGGTACAGTAGAACCCCCTCTACCACTTTAAACACAGGTACAGTAGATCACCCTCTACCACTTTAAACACATGTACAGTAGATCACCCTCTATCAGTTTAAACAGAGGTACAGTAGATCACCCTCTATCAGTTTAAACAGAGGTACAGTAGAACCCCCTCTATCAGTTTAAACAGAGGTACAGTAGAACCCCCTCTATCAGTTTAAACAGAGGTACAGTAGATCACCCTCTATCAGTTTAAACAGAGGTACAGTAGATCACCCTCTATCCGTTTAAACAGAGGTACAGTAGATCACCCTCTATCAGTTTAAACAGAGGTACAGTAGATCACCCTCTACCAGTTTAAACAGAGGTACAGTAGATCACCCTCTACCAGTTTAAACAGAGGTACAGTAGATCACCCTCTATCCGTTTAAACAGAGGTACAGTAGAACACCCTCTATCAGTTTAAAGTGGAACTGACAGCATTTTAGAAACATGAAAACATATTAAAATCTGTTCATGTACACCCCTAATAAGAATATTACACTTTTATGACATTTTCTGACACGTGAGCACTTAGATATGGTCATTTTTTTTCATAAATTCATAGAATGTTTGGGAATGACATATATATACTAAGGGATTTGTGAAAATTCTATAGCAATATAGAGTGGGAAAGCGGCCGTGTGTTTGGACAATTAATAGACACTGCAGTAAATAAAACCAAATAAAAACATTTGTCCTTTCCAGGACCGGAGTCTACGCAGACTGGTGCGCCATAGCCAATCACAGTAGGTCTATATGCAAATAAGCCATTTGACACATGGGCCTGCCATCATTCACTGTGAACTGGACTGTGTTTACAGGCAGTAGCAACAGGGGCCTGCCATCATTCCCTGTGAACTGGACTGTGTTTACAGGCAGTAGCAACAGGGGCCTGCCATCATTCACTGTGAACTGGACTGTGTTTACAGGCAGTAGCAACAGGGGCCTGCCATCATTCCCTGTGAACTGGACTGTGTTTACAGGCAGTAGCAACAGGGGCCTGCCATCATTCACTGTGAACTGGACTGTGTTTACAGGCCGTAGCAACAGGGGCCTGCCATCATTCCCTGTGAACTGGACTGTGTTTACAGGCAGTAGCAACAGGGGCCTGACCTGTGAACTGGACTGTGTTTACAGGCAGTAGCAACAGGGGCCTGCCATCATTCACTGTGAACTGGACTGTGTTTACAGGCAGTAGCAACAGGGGCCTGCCATCATTCCCTGTGAACTGGACTGTGTTTACAGGCAGTAGCAACAGGGGCCTGCCATCATTCCCTGTGAACTGGACTGTGTTTACAGGCAGTAGCAACAGGGGCCTGCCATCATTCCCTGTGAACTGGACTGTGTTTACAGGCAGTAGCAACAGGGGCCTGCCATCATTCACTGTGAACTGGACTGTGTTTACAGGCAGTAGCAACAGGGGCCTGCCATCATTCCCTGTGAACTGGACTGTGTTTACAGGCAGTAGCAACAGGGGCCTGACATCATTCCCTGTGAACTGGACTGTGTTTACAGGCAGTAGCAACAGGGGCCTGCCATCATTCCCTGTGAACTGGACTGTGTTTACAGGCTGTAGCAACAGGGGCCTGCCATCATTCCCTGTGAACTGGACTGTGTTTACAGGCAGTAGCAACAGGGGCCTGCCATCATTCACTGTGAACTGGACTGTGTTTACAGGCCGTAGCAACAGGGGCCGTAGCAACAGGGGCCTGACATCATTCACTGTGAACTGGACTGTGTTTACAGGCAGTAGCAACAGGGCCTGCCATCATTCACTGTGAACTGGACTGTGTTTACAGGCAGTAGCAACAGGGGCCTGCCATCATTTCACTGTGAACTGGACTGTGTTTACAGGCCGTAGCAACAGGGGCCGTAGCAACAGGGGCCTGACATCATTCCCTGTGAACTGGACTGTGTTTACAGGCAGTAGCAACAGGGGCCGTAGCAACAGGGGCCTGCCATCATTCACTGTGAACTGGACTGTGTTTACAGGCAGTAGCAACAGGGGCCTGACCTGTGAACTGGACTGTGTTTACAGGCAGTAGCAACAGGGGCCTGCCATCATTCCCTGTGAACTGGACTGTGTTTACAGGCAGTAGCAACAGGGGCCTGCCATCATTCACTGTGAACTGGACTGTGTTTACAGGCAGTAGCAACAGGGGCCTGACATCATTCCCTGTGAACTGGACTGTGTTTACAGGCAGTAGCAACAGGGGCCGTAGCAACAGGGGCCTGCCATCATTCACTGTGAACTGGACTGTGTTTACAGGCAGTAGCAACAGGGGCCTGCCATCATTCCCTGTGAACTGGACTGTGTTTACAGGCAGTAGCAACAGGGGCCGTAGCAACAGGGGCCTGCCATCATTCACTGTGAACTGGACTGTGTTTACAGGCAGTAGCAACAGGGGCCTGCCATCATTCACTGTGAACTGGACTGTGTTTACAGGCAGTAGCAACAGGGGCCTGCCATCATTCCCTGTGAACTGGACTGTGTTTACAGGCAGTAGCAACAGGGGCCTGCCATCATTCACTGTGAACTGGACTGTGTTTACAGGCAGTAGCAACAGGGGCCTGCCATCATTCCCTGTGAACTGGACTGTGTTTACAGGCAGTAGCAACAGGGGCCTGACCTGTGAACTGGACTGTGTTTACAGGCAGTAGCAACAGGGGCCTGCCATCATTCACTGTGAACTGGACTGTGTTTACAGGCAGTAGCAACAGGGGCCCTGCCATCATTCCCTGTGAACTGGACTGTGTTTACAGGCAGTAGCAACAGGGGCCTGCCATCATTCCCTGTGAACTGGACTGTGTTTACAGGCAGTAGCAACAGGGGCCTGCCATCATTCCCTGTGAACTGGACTGTGTTTACAGGCAGTAGCAACAGGGGCCTGACATCATTCCCTGTGAACTGGACTGTGTTTACAGGCAGTAGCAACAGGGGCCTGACCTGTGAACTGGACTGTGTTTACAGGCAGTAGCAACAGGGGCCTGCCATCATTCACTGTGAATTGGACTGTGTTTACAGGCCGTAGCAACAGGGGCCGTAGCAACAGCGTGACTTTAGATTGTTAGAACGCATTCGCCAAAAGCCACAAAATACACCTGAATGGATTTTTTGGGGAATAGTAGCCTGCTCGTCCTGCCAATGCATGCTTGTCCCAACCCACGTTTTGACAACTGAATGGGAACTTGCCTGCCTGCCCACCCATTTGATCGATGCCAAATACATTTGATCGACAACTAAGAGATATGCTAGTAGTTCAAGTTCAGCATAGCTAGCTAGTTAGCTAGGTAGCAAAGCGATTAAACATTTCTTGCTAGCTAACCAAATGACACCTGCATCTCTAGCTGTAGTCAACGAAAAACGTTATGAGGTGAAAAAGTCAGTCACTCACCCAGTCCTCCGATGACATGACATCCTCCCAGCAGCTAGCTAGCTAACGTTAGGCTCTTTGTTTTTAGCTAGCTAAATAAATAGCTAGCCACATAAATAGATACGCTAGCCCAGGGGTGTCAAACTCAATCAGCGCACGGACCATATTGAAAAAACACAATGAATTCGCAGGCCAGACATAGCCTATTTGTTTTTACAAAATAACATGCAACTGCGACCCAAACTGGCCATTGTTTTATTTGAAAAAATATGGGCCTTTTGTATTGTCCACTTACAGTATGTATATAGGATGCTGTATATAGCGTTTTAACATATTAAAACAAAAGAGATAAATAATAATTTATCCAGCCTTTGCTGCAATGCTTGCAGATGTGCATCATATGCTGTGACCCTAATCAAAAAGTATTTAGTAATTCCAAATAACAAAAACTTAGCTATAGGTTGTTGTAACGTTTAAACTTTTTTTTGCACTGTACGGTTGAATGCATCATTGCTGTATGGTGCAATCTAAATGTATTGTAGTTGAGTAGCCAGCCTCGGCTACTGCTCAAATGTTGCTGTAGTAGGCCTACATGTTTCTCCTTTGCATGGTGTTCTGATGCCGGTTTTGGTTTTTGGTTATTCATTGTCTGTAAAACCGAAGCCAGACGGCGACATTTTATTAGCCTGGCTAGGACTGTGTCTGAACAGCTTCCCTCCGCTGCACGCCGGAAACGGGACACACAAAAGCAGCGCTATTGAAGTTGAATTAACGGGCTGTAATCAGGCTGTAATTTCATAAAGTAGATGACTCAACTGTTTTATACTTGCTTGTGTGTCCTATTCGGCCCGCGGGACTTGCGTTTGACACGTGCGCTAGACTATTAGCCACGTCATGACTGACTTGTGATCGTTGCCCTTGCTAGTTTGATTGTGTTGACATTCCCAGCCTTAGTTACAGTCATACGTTTTTGTTCCAAATATTGAGTCATTGAAACTGTCATTGTGTGGCCTACCACTTCGCGGCTGAGCCGTTGTTGAGCCTAGATGTTGCCACTTCACAATAACAGCACTTAGAGTTGACCGGGGCAGCTCTAGCAGGGCAGACATTTGATGAACTGACTTGTTGGAAAGGTGGCATCCTATGACGGTGCCACGTTGAAAGTCACTGAGCTCTTCAGTAAGGCCATTCTACTGCCAACGTTTTTCTATGGAGATTGCATGGCTGTGTGCTCGATTTTATACACCTGTCAGCAACGGGTGTAGCTGAAATAGCCAAATCCACTAATTTGAAGGGGTTTCCACATACTTTTGTATATACAGTGCATTCACAAAGTATTCAGACCCCTTCACTTTTTCCACATTTTGTTATGTTACATCCTTATTCTAAAATTGATAAAATACATGTTTTTCCTCATCAATCTA